GAAAAAAAAATATGAGCTAGTCTAGCTTTAGTGATTAGTGATTCTTTAGAATCAACTAACTTTTATTACCTATAAATGTTGTTGTTCTTAAAATGACACCTCTTATTAAATTATGGCAATATGTATGGATAGGACCAAAAAGTTGATGGATGAGAAATAGTCCTGAGCACACCAAGCCAGCACGGCATCACAGGTCATCCTATGACAACTGATTCTATGGATTTTACAACTTAGAGAAACTCTGACAATATTGGCAGAAAGGGTTGAAAGCATTTGGCACAGGGAAAATCTTGGTCTAGATGGCATCAAAAGCTTAGCTCAAGCGATGGCTGGTATTTTTAAAACTAATCACAAACTAAGTGATTATATGTTTCCAAAGGTACCTTCCTATTTTTCCTTCTAGACTAAAGAATATCACTCTTTTTAAAAGTTAAAAAAACCAAAAGTTACAAGCAGTCCCCAAGTTGCACAAGTTCAACTTATGGACAACTTGTACTTACCCTTTAATGTTACGAAAATCTGCCTCACTTTGAAATGACTCAACAGTCACCTTCATCACAATCACCTTCACTTGCTGTATGTGCAGCTTATAAATCACTGAAGAGGCTTCAACCTTCCTCTTGCACTAAAGTAAGGCTAAGTAAAAATCACATACATCTGTTCCAACTTACCTACAAATTCAACTTGAAGACATAATTAGGAACGGATCTCTTTCTTAATCTGGGCACTGCTGTAGCGTAATGTGAAAAGTATTGTCTATGGCATGCTTCAGGAGCTCCGGTAACATAGTGCCTAAGGCACTTGACTGCTAACCAGAAGGCTGGTGGTTCAAACCCACCAGCCACTCCTCGGAAGGAAGGTTGGGCAATCTACTTCCGTAGTGATACTGCCTCAGAAACCCAAGGAGGAGTCGCTATGAGTCAGGTCCGACTCCACGGCACATAACAACAACATGGCATGCTTCAAATCCAAGGCCTAGACCAATCACACCTCCCCACAATGTACTGTGCAAAGTCTTCCAAACCAATTGGGTGCATGTATGAGAGTTTCCCTTAAGGAACAAAGTCAGCATTACAGTAATCACATTCTGTTAATCAATTGTTTGCTTATTCAAAGCAGTACTGATGTCATTTTCTTTAAATAGTTGAAATTTTATCAGCTTTCTCAAATCCGTATTTCTTGGTATTTGCCTGAATGACAGAGATGCTTACTTATTTTACATAACAGAGTTGAGAATCCAACTTCTCAACCTCAAGCATTTTATAGAAATCTCATCAAATATGGTGACCTTTCAGCATTAATTCATGACATTCATGGCTGTTTCTACTACGACAAAGGGCTTTAGCATTTTCCTTTGTAGTTCGGAAAATACTAATTTTCTTTATTAGGCACTGACAGGTAGAGTGTACATTGGTGGTTTATTCTTCCCTTTACCATTACTAACTTCATTAATAGTAGGTAGGGAAAATTCCTTCCTATGAGGTAACATGGATGACTAAATCTTCTAGAAATCAGTGTATACATATGCCATTTTAGGGAATGTGATGAAGGTAAGGCTGGCATTATGCAGAGGAGGAAGGAGAACAAATAAGATTGGCTTCCCTTTAGGAGACAGAGATGGATGGGATCTGGATGGAGTTGGGGGAAGGAAAGAGGATGACGTGGCTGCAGACCCAGGTAATCCTAAGAGAAAGAACATATACAACTGTCAGGCCCCTGGCAAGTCCCAGAGGGTTACAGCCACATTAGAGAAGGGACTATATGATCAGACCTGAGTTATAACCTAGTAATAAGAATAATTTAGATCACAAAAGTGTTTTAATAGTTTCCTCAAAAACCTTGACAAATTAAAATTATAATACAATGTAAGCGTGAGGTATTTACTAATAACTTTCAATAATAATTACTGAAAAGCTTATTATGGGGTAGTTGTAAAACAGAGAGAAAACTCAATTTACAGCCCAGTTAATAAGATAATGTACATATGTGAAAGTGCTGCTATAAACTATAAAGGATTATATAAATGTTCGCTATAATTATTTTTATTATGATCTGTAATCAATTAGAAATCAAAAACAAAGGTATGAGTGTATTTCAGTAAATATTCAATCAGCACAGTTTAACTACACTGTAACTTTAGAGCAGTGTTTCCCAGCCTCAACACTACTGACGCTCTGGGCGGGTAATCCTTCCGTGGAGGTCTGGCTGTGTACACTGTAGGATGTTCCACAGCATACTCACTAGAGACCAGTAGCACTCCACCCCTCTCCCACCCAGTAGTGACAACCAGAAACGTCTCTGGACATTGCCAGACATTGCAAATTATCCCTGGTTGAGAACCACTGCTCTAAAGCATAAGAAAACTCTAGAAATTATACTTACAGCTCTCAATATAGACTGAGGGTAAGAGAAGGTCAAGTTATTAAGTCCTATAGCCTAGCCATCAGCCACACATGGCTGGCTAGTGAGCACTTCAATTGTCACTAGTCTGAATTGAGATATGCTATGCACGTAAAATCACACCAGATTTTAAAGATTTAGTTTGAAAAAAAGAATACAAAATATCTCAATAATATTTACATTGATTAAATGATAAAGTGGTATTTTGAGTATCACTGATACTCAAAATTCATTGAGTTAAATAAAATACATCATTAAAATAAACTTTTTTTAAAATGTGGCTACTGTTGTTGTTAGGTGCCGTCAAGTTGTCTCCAACTCATAGCAACCGCATGCACAGCAGAATGAAACACTCGCCAGTCCTGTGGCAGCCTCACAATCCTTGCTATACCGGAGGCCATCGTTGCAGCCACTGTGTCAATCCATCTCGTTGAGGGCCTTCCCCTTCTTCATTGACCCTCCCACTTTACCAAGCACGATATCCTTCTCCTGGGAAAGGTTCCTTCACGACCAAAATAGGTGAGAAGAAGTCTGGCCATTCTCACCTCCAAGGAACATGCCAGCTACACTTCTTCCAGGACAGATTTGTTTCTTCTCTGGCAGCCCATGGTACTTTCAGTATTCTTCGCCAGCACCACAACTCAAAACAATCAGCTCTTCTTATTCACTGTCCAGCTCTCACATGCATAAGAAGTGATTGAAAATACCATGGCTTGGGTTAGGCGCACCTTAGTCTTCACAGAAACATCTCTGCACTTTAAAGCGGTCTTGCAGCAGATTTGCCCAGTGCAGTAAGTAGTCTGATTTCTTGACTGCTGCTTCCATTGGTGTTGATTGTGGAATATGAAATCTTTGACAACGTCAATCTTTTCTCCAACTGCTACTGAGTTGGTAGTCAAAGTTAAGAATTGTACAGATGATAATGGTACTCTACATATTCCTGAGCTAGACAAAAGAAGAGGAACTCTGTGAAAGATTCTAGGCAATAATGTATTTAGAGAATATATAGACACAAAAGCAAAAACTTGATGTATGTCTGCATTCATCTTTTGCCTACTGGTTCTCCTTAAAGTGAAGGAATAGTGGTGCAGGTAGGTGGGACATGAAGTATGACCTGGGCCAGGCAAGAGTTGAGAAAAAGATAGCATGTCAAAACGAGGGTTAACCCCAAGGTCCAAGGGTACTGTGTAGGGCCATACTTGTTTAATTGTTCTACATTTCTTTTTTAATTGCCTCATCTAGACATTATATAAAAGACCATTCCTTTACATTCCTTTACAATATGAGGAAGAGAGGCGAGGCCTCGACTAAAAGTAAAACCAAACCAAACGTACTGCAATCAAGTTGATTTGGATTTCTAGCGACCCCCCATTGGGCTTCCGAGGCTATAGATCTTTATGGAAGCGGACTGCCTCATCCTTCTTCCATGGAGCATCTGGTGAGTTAGAAACCGCTGACCTTTCGGTTAGCAGCCAAATGCCTTCACTACTACACCACCAGAGCTCCTGAAAGGCATGTTAGAAAAAAAAAAAATTTTTTTTAAATCCTATTTCCCTTTCATTTATCCTCCTTTTATAAATCAATAAAGAAAACAATGCTAACTACCAGATTCATGGTATTTTAGGCAGTGGCATAAAGAGATTTAGCAAGAAAGGGAAGTTTTTTGGAACTCGATGCTCTGTTTCTTTCTAGCAGTAACTCTGGAACACGGTGGGTGCGTTTGAAGAAACATTTTGAGGCCTGAATTCCAGTCATGCCACCACTGCCTCTATGTGGGCTTCAGCAGGTCATTTCACCTCCTAAGCCACACATTCTCAATTGGAGTGGTATTTCCCCCAAGGGGTGAAAAGTGGTTTTCAGAGAGGAAGGGAGCAAAAATTTTTAAAAAAAAACTTGTAATTTTTACACATAAAGCATAGATATAATACAGTACATAATAGATAATACAGTATGAAAAAATAAAAAACCAAACTCACTGCCATCTAGTCGTTTTCCCACTCCTAGTGATCCCTCCTTGGGTTTCCGAGGTAGTATCTCTACCAAAGCAGATTGCCCAATCTTCCTTCTGAGGAGAGGCTGGTGGGTTTGAACCAGCAGCCTGCTGGTTAGCAGTCAAATGCCTTAGGCACTATACCATCAGAGCTCCCATAATACAGTATATCTGTATTAATATTAAAATTTCATGATGGGGTAGAGTGAAGGTTGGAAAAACACTTCCCTTGTAAGTGGGGCAATAATAACCAAAAAGCTGAGAAACACTGCTCTAAGCCTCCACTGCTTAACTGTAAAATGGGTTGGCATCACTAACCTTATTATTTGGCTTTATCTAAGCATATGTAGAAAGAATGAGTGACCAGAAATAAAGCAGGCAGGAAAAATAACCAAAATTGTAGAACAATCACAAATGTATAGCTAAAAATAGATTCAAATTGTACATATCTTAACATCATTCAGTGATAAACTTTATTAACAAGACAATTTTCTTCTTACTGATCATTTTACCAACTGAATACCTAACATCGAAATAGGAAATGTAAAGTCCTAATAAAAGTCGAATAATAAATACAAAAAGAATCTATAAGTATAGCAAAGATACAAACCTAAAACACCAATTTCAAGACCTGCCAAGCCTGTTTTAATTCTGTCATAAATATCCTCTGATCCAAAGTCAATGGCCATGGTCCTTGTCTCCACTTTGTACTTTTCTCCTAGGTGGGGAAAAAGACACAAATTAATACTTGGGTATTCCAATTAGAACATCTGATAACAATATCCTTTCAAGGTCATCTTTTTGTCCCAATCTGATATGAAATTTAGTCCAGGATAATTTTAAGCAATTACATAACCATCCAAGAGATGATACAGAATCTATACAACAGGTTGGCAATAAAGATTCCAGTGGTGTCCAGAGCGCATGGAATGTTCCTAATCATTTCTCCTCCTATAAAATCATTAATGATAACTCATTTTTACAACCTTAGATACCTGATTCATATCATAATGTTACCATACTGTTCTATACTCCTTAAATACTCTGCTTTTATTATTTTAATTACAAATTGGTGTTTCATAATTTTAGGAAGAAGTCTTTATGTTAAAATATATTTTAAAGTATGATACATTGAAATAAAAAGTCCATCTTATGAAAATGGAAATAAAATGAATACAATCTTACTGTAATTGAGGAGCTTGGATAATAGTTAATGACACTACACTTACAAATCAACACAACAAGCACAATAATAAAGCTAAGTGACACAAGAAAGACCTTAGAGTTCTGCTTTGCATAGGGCTACTAGGGGTCTACATGGAGCTGACAGAGACAGTAGCTAAAGAAATGAGACCCTGGAGAAACGAAACTCATCTGAGGTAATGCATAATGTTCACTTCAGCTTTCACTAGTTCCCATGGAGGAGATATGATACACTTTGACATTTGTGGACATGGGTCCAATTTCATTTCTACACTTATGTGCTAAGTGATTTTGAGTAAGTCACATATCCTCTCCGAGCCTCACCACCTTCTTTAGAAGATGAAGGTAACACTGCCCACCTCATGATGTGAAGCCAAAGAGGATATGTATACAGATATCTACTGGTACGTGGGAGGCACTCCATAAATGTTAGTGCCCTCCTCCCCTCTCCAACTGTCCCCATTCTCACTTCATTTAGTGAAGTTCTGGAACTGGAAATGTTTATTATTGGGAACTTTTTATGAATTCAAAAGAATTAATTAAAAAATCCAGCTTGCAAAAATAAATGTTTCTTCAGTCCAAGTCAATGTTGGCTCATCATAGATTATACAGCACTAATCCACATAGGAAGTATCCGCTCTTGATCTAAAAGGATTCATGTCTAAAATTAAAGAGTTCGTTCACATGAGATTTGATTCTTACTTAGGCTCAATAAAAAGTATTGACCTAAGACAGAAATCCATGAATAAATTGGAGAAGAAAATAAATGACCTAGAAAATACCTTATCTAGTGTTAAAGCTATATTTAGTGTTTCAATATAAATGAACTATATATATTTTTATGTGTTAGAGAGCCAGATACAGAACTGTCATTTTATAATACCTGTCTTACTAAAAATAGTTCAGTTTACCACCAGTAAGTAAAGAATACTGCCCATTATTGTAGGCTCAGATTCACAAGAAAACAGACCAAAAAATAAAATAAAAAGACTGAAGGATACCTTTTATAAGAAAATTTATTCTTCCATATCTTAAAGGATTTGGTAAATATATTTAACCAGTAGAGTCCCATATAGATATAGCTGCTAATAAAAATAAAAAACTTTTGGAAAGAATGTTATGTACAGGTAGTCGTCTCCAGGTTATAAACATTAGACTTAGGGACCACTCATACTTGCCGTTTAATGTGAAGTAAACTTGCCCTTACTTTGAAACCAATGGGCCAACCCTACTGGTAACAAATTCTTCATCGCCACCACCTTCACCCACTGCACATGCAGCTTTTAAATCACTGAAAAGACTTCAAATTTTTCTTGCACTAACCAAAAAACCTAAATAAAACCCTCTGCCATTGAGTCAATTCTGACTCATAGCAACCCCCACTGGATTTCCAAGGCTATGAATCTTTACAGAAGAAGACCTTCCTCCCACAGAGCAGCTGGTAGGTTTGAACCAGCAACCTTCTGGTTAACAGCCAAATGCCTTACCCACTACACCACCAGAGCGCCTTTTCTTGCACTAAAGTAAGGGTAAATAAGAACCATGTGCACCTATTCCAACTTACCTACAAATCTGACTTAAAGACACACTTAGGAATGAGTCTTGTTCTTAACCCAGGGACTGTCTGCAATTGTGAATCCCACAAGTAAGCTCTTTCTTTGTGTTTACAATAAAATAAGTAAAATGGTTTTCAATGCAAATTTCTTAAAGATAATTAACATTTCTAAACTTATACTTGGATTGCTCTGAACCATGTGTTAGGTCAGTTCATACTGCTCTTTTTCTTAACAATTGTTTTCTTCGTTGTCTCTATTGTGGGTTTTTCTCTTTTAATATAGGTCAGATCACGTCACCCCTCTCCTCAAGACTTCCATCTTACTTGAGTCAGAGTCAAAGTCTTTGCCACAGCCTTACTCCTCTCTAAACTCACCTGCAACCATGCTCCCTGCTGCTCCCCCAACTCTAGATATGGGGTTTCTGATAGTTCTTTAAACATAGCATACTCTCCAAATACACTCAGGGTTGTTGCACTTAACGTTTTCCTGCATCCCTTCTCTCTTGGGCCTTTGAGCAAATGTTACCTTCTTAATGTATGTGTGTGTTTGTCTGCCCCTGCCATAATTAAGCTCTGTGAAGACAAGGATTGGGGTCTGTTTTGTTCAGTTGCTCAACAATGTTATGAAGGACTTGGGGACTTTCCACTTCTCTCTTACTCCCTTAGGCTGGCTCCTCTCCTGGTTTTAAGAGGGTTACTGCCATTCCAGGAGCTTTGGTGGTATAGTGCCTAAGGCATCTGACTGCTAACCAGAAGGCTGGTGGTTCAAACCCAGCAGCCACTCCTCAAAAGGAAGGTTGGGCAGTCCATTTCCGTAGTGATACTGCCTTGGAAACCCAAGGAGGGGTCTCTATGAGTCAGGTCCAACTCGACAGCACATAACAACAACTGCCATTCCAAGCATTACATGCACACAGTAACATTCAAAGGTAGAAACAAACATCCCTGTTATATGTTCCTCTTACAGAGAAAGGACAACCCCCTAAAAGAATCCAGCAGACTCCCCTAACATTTACTTTCCTGGGATGTATGGCATGTTCTTGACCAGGCCCATAGAAGGGCTTTGAGGATTCCATGAACTGCCTCATCACCACTTGTAGAAGTCAAAAATAGTAGCCCATATATAAGAGTAGGAAGGAATTGCTTCTCACTGGCCCCAGACAATCAGATGAGAATTATGATAGGCATTGTGACAGGCTGAATGATAGAGGACATGGGTGGCTTCCTTTAAAACTTGGCATCTTTCCCCTTCCCAAAGCCTATCACTCATCACCTGACCTTGGTAACAGATGCCAAGAGAGATGGACAAGCTTTCTCTAAACATTAGTACAAGGATGTATTAAGTCTGGAAGAGAAGTGGGCACCAGAAACACATGACATAACCTCCATTTGAGAAAAGTAAAGTATTTTTCCATACTAGTACTCTTCACCCCAAGGCCTTTCTTAAGACTGCCAGTCCACAACTCAGCAAAAGCCCAGTGCTAGGGAAGAAGAAGAATTTACAGTGAAGCCTTTGAAAATGTACTTCTGGGTACTCTGAGGGGAATGACATACTTTTTGTCAACTTATGGAAAGATTAAGTCCTGTATTAAGTCCTGTCCTCAGGGTAGAAGTTGTATTAAGTTAAAGTCAATACTCAAGAGTTGATGTACAATAAAGATATACAAACAATTGAATTCGGAGGTTGCAACAAGCAAGATATGGATCACTCAATTCCCTCTTCAAGGAAATTCTTCTTGCCCCACTTGCTGGGAATATTGTCAGGCAACAGCCTTACAGTGTCAGGCCCTTTAGTGATTACTCTAAGATGAAGAGCTGATTTGTCCAAGATCATGCCCTTCCCAGTGTGGGCACATCCAATGACTACCTAGGACTGCCTGTGTATACCAGGTTCTGTTTCCAGAATTAGATGCATTTATTATCCTATTTTTCTGATCTCTTATAATGCCCTAGTTTTAATTATTTTAGGTTTATAATAGATTTAGTAAGGAATGAACCTCAACATAAAAAAAAAAACAAAAAAAAAAAACCTTCATAACTGGACCAATAAGCAACATCATGATAAACAGAGAAAAGATTGAAGCTGTCAAGGATTTCATTTCACTTGGATCCACGATCAATGCCCATGGAAGCAGCAGTCAAGAAATCAAGTGACATATCGCTTGTACAGATCTGCTGCAAAAGAACTCCCTAAAATGCTAAAGAGCAAAGACATCACTTTGAGGATTAAGGTGTGCTTGATCCAAGCCATGGTATTTTCAAATGCCTCATATGCATGCAAACGAGTTGTGGTATTGGCAGAGAATATTGAATACACTATGGAGTGGCAGAAAAAGGAGCGAATCTGTCTTGGAAGAAGCACAGCCAGAATCATCTTTAGAAGCGAAGATGACAAGATTTTGTCTCACATACTTTGGACATGTTACAGTCCCCGGAGAAAGACATCAAGCTTGGTAAAGTAGAAGATCAGCAAAAAAGGAAGACCCTTAATAAGATGTGTTGACACCATGGTTGCAACAATGGGTTCAAACCCAGTAACGACTGTGAGGATGATGAAGGACTGGTCAATGTTTCATTCTATAGGACAGAGGATCATTATGAGTGGGAACCAACTCAACGGAATCTAACAACAATATAATACATTTTAATAAGTCTAGTACTACAAAGCCCCTTTATTATATTTCTTTTTCCAAAGTTATCCTCACTTGTTTAACCTCACTTCTCACTGGGACTACACTAAACATTTCAATTAAATGGACAATGACAATGTAGCATTCTCTCCAGGCTCTCCATCTTTTCAAGTGTTTGCTTTTATTTACTGTCTCACACTAAAATTTTGTGGTGGCAAATTCTTCAAGAAATCAAAGAATTCTGTTATTAAAATATCACATACCATTATGCAAAAGAACACAGTATGACTAATGATTTCTATGGACATAAATCATTAAGTATTTGAAACC